CAGGATGGAGGACGGGCCCCACCACCAGTAGATTCCCTCGTCAGAATGGAGCTGGGCCCTGCAGGAGATACTCTGCTGGAAACCTCCCACCTGTGATGATCGGGAGCAGCACGACTAGGTCTCAAGTTCAACCTTGGTTTGGCTTTTCTCTCAAGTTCAGTTAGTTGGAAAATGAAGAGAAGAGGTCAAATCTGGTCAGATCTCAATAGGAGTCAACCAAAGAGCCACCTCTGACTGTGACTTTTTTCTTAGAAACTTCTAAGGCCTATATAGACACTTGTCCTTCTGATAAAGCTTCAGATGTAGTACTTATGGAGAGACGGGGCTTCTGACTATGACCTTCATTTAGAGGTTTCTATTAGTTCAAAGGTTGGAGCCCTAAAGTGACCATCTTCATTAACCTATCACATGGGTGTAAGTTATTTACTTACGAGTACCTTCCCGACATTTTTCGCACAACCACAATGATGATCCCACCAATGAATCCGATGGCTAGTAAGACCCCGACAGTGATTCCAATCAGGGTGCCTGTCGCCAAGCCATCTGAATGAGAGAGGGAAAAAGCTTGAGCCCAGATAAACAATACACTGCAATAATACAACGTGTCATTAATACACAACATACTGTCCCACTAGAGATAGCAAATAATGGTCCACATTGCTTCTCCTATACCCAGAGGAAGTTGTCTTAGAAGAGGAGAAATCTTGGGATATTCTAACCCCATCTTACAAATGGAAAGATTTCTGGGTCTCAGGATCTATCGAGCATATCACTCATACTGGGTGGCTTTGCTGTTAATTATCGGGTGGCGTTTGTGTACGGCTGTTAAATTAGCACCCGTTTTCATTCTTAGTAACAATAAATTGTGATATGACGCCATTCTCTGTAGTTGTCACTAAGTGAATAGACTCATTTGTAGTTTGCTTATTTTGAAACACAGGCAATTCCCTTTTCCCTCTTAAAAGACGTTTGAATCCTGTTCTTGGAAGGTTCTATGTTTTGCTCTTGTTGACTACAATCCAAGAGAGAATGTAATTCATCACAAAGATTAGGTTCAAAGAAATCTTTTTTTTTAATCCTCATAGAATATTTTGATACCAAAATCTAGCTTACCTTTCTCAATTGTTGTTTGTGTGTCTCCTGTAAAGTGAGAGATATAATGATATAGAATTATTAAAATTTAATAACTATAATTTAACAATTGGCGAAAGATAAATTTGCCCTAAGTGGAAGGTAGCAAAACACAAGCAAAGAGGATAATTTCTTAAATAAATTGGATTAGGGGATTTTTAAGCAAGCTTTGACATGATTCTGTATTCAAAACTATTATTATTGAATTTATGAACGCTTCTTTACGCCTATAATACTTTTGTGTACATTACTTTTCTATCATCCGCTTTAGAGAGCAGAGTCAAGGAAACTGACCCACAGATCTTAAATAAATGATCAAAATGTTTCAGAGCTTAAGTTAACGAAAGAATCCAAGGATGTTGATTCTTGGTCTAGTGTCAAGACCATAGAAAACTTACCCACTGGAATGAGATCTACGTTGAAGGATTTTCATTTCAAGAACAATATACTCCATTTTTGGAAGATGTGGCCAAGACTGTGATTTTGTTTTGTGATATTAATTCTCTGCTTTTGCTTTAGTAGCAAAATTCACATCTTACAGGGTGACAATATACTCAGCTCTGTTTAATGAGAGAATACACTCTGTGTTTATGCCAATGTTGTTTTAGAATTTCTATCTGCAGCCAAACCTAGTCTAATTATTACAATGTGAGTATTTTCATTTACCTATCACATGGGTTTAAGTTATTTACTCATAAGTACCTTTCCTGCAAGAAAATCAAATTTTCAGATAATTTTACACAATTCCTATATTAAAAAAAAAAGGTGTTTTGCTTTGTTTTGTTTCTCCTACCAACTTCTTTTGTATACAGAGTCTGTGACTCCTCTGCATGGTATTTATTTATCTGGTTTGCAAATGGAGACTTCGAGTCCTGCCAGAATAATGGTGTCCTTGAATAGACTCCCAAAATGTCATCCCTGGCTGCCAACTATCCACAGAGTTAAGTCAGTCATTTGCATTTCACGTCTTAACACAGTGGCTGCCAATTCCAGCCTTTATGTAACACACCGTCACCACTGATGACACCACTGGTTAGAAAATACCAAAAATAAAATTTATGGAAAATTCCTTACTAAATGAGAGCTTATTAGTCTCATACTCTCTAGCTTCCTCCCAATCACATGACTGTGATCATAAAATATGTCATATGTGTGAACATCATGGAACCTGGGCGTTTCATGGGAAAGACATCTGCTGCCCTAATAAATTACCTCTTTAAAAAACAAGTGCTTATAATTACATTAACTGACATGAACATCTCTTCGGACACTGACGTATGAAGTAGGAATGTGCTTTAAGTCACACTTTTTGTGAATGGGTGGGGCAGGGGATGGGACAGGAGAGTAACCATGAGAGTTTTCAGGCAATTGAGATTTTTTTTTTAAGGATTAGGAGAGGTATCCTGGAATGATAGAAAGAATATTCAGGTTAGAAGTTTCTATTTTCTGCTGGTAATTAACTGTCGAATCAAGTTACAAATGATCAATTCTTCTCCAAAATTTTGAAATGCTTTCTAATGATCAATTATATTGATAATACTTTCCTAGCTTAGCCCTATTTGGTTTTCTCTGGTATTTAAACGTTAGCCATTTTTTTTAGCATCTTGGAGTAAACTTTAGTCTTTATTTTCAAAGCATTTGATGAAGGTTTTTTTATTGTAATAAAACGCATAACAAAATTTACTATATTCACCATTTCTGAATACGATTCAGTGGCATTGAGTACATCCACACTGTTCTGCAATCATCACCACCGTCCATCTCCAGAACTCTTTCATCTTCAAAAACTGACATTTTATACTCATCAAAAAATAACTCCTCACGTCCTCCTCTGCCCCCTGCCCCTGGCTCCACCCTTCTACTTTCCGTCCCTGTCATTTTACTACTCATCTAGGTGGGATCATACAGCATTTGTCTTTTGATGACTGGCTTATTCCATTTAGTATAATGTCCTCAAAGTTTATTCAAGTTGAAGTATATATCAGAATTTCCTTCCTTTTAAAGGCTGAATAATATTCTATTGTATACATATACCACATTTTGTTTATTTAATTCATCTTTCAATGAATTCCATGTTTTATATATTGTGAACAATGCTACTATGAAAATGGGCGTAAAGACATAAAGCATTTTTTAAATCTTCAGAAGTGCTATAGATTGTGTATAACCAGATTGCTTTTGGGTCTGGAAATGTATATTGACAAAAAAAACTTTTCAGGTGTTCAAATGTGCAGTTGGTTTGAGAAACCACTGCTTTAGGCAAGGTCTTTGTGTTTACTTTCATTTAAAGATGGAAATACTTATCTAGATAAAATGATTTATATAAAATTGCTCAAGTCAGCAAGCACTCATTACAGTTATTGCAGGATTAGTTCCTTTTCTCTCCCACCCCTATTTATTACAAATTAGGGCATATTTTTTAAAAATCACAATCAACTGAATTTCTTTTAAGAAAGCTCTGGAAATAGGAAGCTATCTCTTTCTATTGCTGAGTTGTAACGGCAACAATCCTTCCCCAATCTTATCAGTGATGGTCTAAACCTCATAATAATGGCAAAGATCTGAAGTCTCCTCCAGTTTCTCTCCAATATGTTTCATTCATACTGTTGCAGGTGCCAACTGTGAATCACAAGTACAACCCAAAATCCTGGTAAGAAGACTGCTTTAGAAAAGATTCTTGCTCCATGTGGACAGACAAGAATTCCATATAAGATGATAAATATCACTATAGACTCTATTAATATTTACATAAGTTGGCTTAGTTTTGTGGCCGTGGGGGTCAACACAAAGTTCTTAGTTATATCAATATCAACTTAGGGTCAGCGACATGACATAAATAGCTACTTAACTTGCCCTCGTGGGAACATTATCGCTAGTCATCATTCAAGGTAGAGAACTGTGTTCAGCAACCCAATAAATCAAACTCATACATCGGATTCTGAACCTGCCGCATAAAGCTTGGTTCAGAATTCGCTCTTGCATTCCAATATGCGCCCTATTGATTATTGTATTTGTTCATGGTTTTGGAATGCATTACTTATGCAAAGGAAGGTCAGTCCCTGTTGGAGTGACTGGTTTTCTTACCCATGGAGTGACTAGTGGCCATATTCGAGGCTGTGGTGCTCTGGCTTTCTTCTTGGGCATGGACTGTGCTTTCTGAAGTTGGCAGGTCCTCTATACGTGTGACTGTGCTCTTTGTACTTGTGGGCACCTATTGGAGATGTAAATGAGGCAGAACAGAGAAATAACCATAATGTTTTAAAATATAGACTCTGCCTTATAACAGAAAAGAATTTAAGGTGACATAAATATATAAAATATAGGATGACGTAAATATGAAGTGAAAACAAGAAAACAAACAAACAGAAACTATGAGAATAGGGATGGAAAAAACCTGTCTACTGTAAAAATGAATGGCAAATGTTTACTTCCATGGGTCTTAATTCTTCAGAAAATACCGGATCGCTAAGCTTTGGTTTTTTTTCTCTCTTGAATTTGAATGGCACATTTACTCTGCAACATTTTGGGGACACATATTATGTTGTATCATCCTTCGATGCCCTCCTCTCTCAATGAGAAAAATAGTTAGCCTTCACTGAGAGCTTATGATGTGCCAGCCTATTTAAACACCTCATTTATTCCACACAAAAAAACACACGAAAACCCATGAAGTAGATCCTATTATTAGATCCTATTATAGACAACAAACGACAGAACAGAACCCGGAAATGGTTCTGTTGACCCCAAAGTGTATGCCAGTAACGTTAAACAAATATGCTAATGAGCACAGACAACAAAAACAAAAATAGATAAATGCGTCCACATCAAACTTAAAAACTTCATACAACAAAAGACATAATCAGCAAAGTGAAAAGGCAACCTATGGAATAAGAGAAAATGCTTGCAAATCATATCTGATAAGGGTATCAAGAACTTCTGCAACTCAAAAACAAAAAATCAAATAATCTGTTTTAAAAACGGACAAAGGACTTGAATAGACATTTATCCGAAGATAATACACAATGGCCAACAAGTATATGAAAAAATTCTCAATGCCTCTAATCATCAGAGAAACGCAAACCAATACCACAACAAAATTATCACCTCACATCCATTAGGAAGGCTACTATCAAAAGAACAAAAAAAAACGTGTTGGCAAGGATGTGGAGAGATTGGAACCATTGTGCAGTGTTGGTAGAACTATAAAATGGTGCAACCGCCAGGGAAAACAGGAAGGAGTTTCCTCAAAAAAATTAAAAATAGAACTACCATATGATCCTACAATCCCACTTCTGAGTATATACCTAAAAAAAAAACTGAAAGTAAGGTCTCAAAGACATATTTGCATGCCTATGTTCATAGCAGCCCTATTCACAATAGCCAAAATCTGGAAGTTACCTAAATGTCTATCAACACTGAGTGGATAACTACAATGTGCTATGTCCATATGATGGAATATTATTAAGCCTTAAAAAAGGAAATCTTGTCACATGCTACAACATGGACGAACCTCGAGGACATTATGCTAAGTGAAATAAAGCAGTCACCCAAAGACAAATACTGTAGGATTCCACTTATATGAGATATTTAGAGTAGTCAAAATCATAGAGTAAAAAATAGAATGGTGATTATCATAGAGATAAAAAATAGGAGGAAGAAAAGGAGAGTTGTTGTTTAATAGGTACAGAGTTTCAGATTTGCAAGATGAGGACACTTTCAAGATCTGTTTCACAAGATGAATATACTTACCATTACTGGACTGTACACTTAAAATGGTTAAGATGGTAAATTTTACGTTACGTGGTGTTTTTTTTTAACACAAAAAAATATGCTGAGTATCAACTATGTGCTGGGCATGATTCCAAACCCTGGGGATATACTAGCGCAGAGATTGGTATACTTTTCTGTAGAGGGCAAAATGGTAAATGTTTTCATCTTTGCAGGTCCTTTGGTCTCTGTTACAACCAACTACTCAACTCTACTCTTATAGAATGAAAGCAGCCTCAGATAACTCTTAACCCAATAGGCATTGCTGCGTTCCAATAAAGCTTTATTTACAAAAACAGGCAGTGGGCCAAATCTGGTGGGTAGTTGCTGACTTCAAGGTTAGAGAGTAACTCCTGGGGGGAAAAGAGGGTGGAGGGAGACAGGATTACTGTTGGCCTCTTCAAGGTAATATTTGAATTTGAGAATATGCGAAAAAGTCAGCCATAGAAAGATCTGGGGAATGTTCTAAGCAGAGAAAACCCTAAGGTGGAATAAGTTCAAAGGTCAGAAGGGCCAACATGATAGACATAGAGAAAGTGAGTGGGGCAGGGGTGCAGCAAGGTCGGAGAGGCAGGCAGGAGCCCTTGTTCCATGTTATAACTAATTCATGAGCTCCTCAAGGGTGGATAGTGTGGCTTATATATTTCCTCAAGGCCTCCCAGAGCCTGGCATCCTGTCTGGCCCATGGCAGGTGCTTAAGACACATTGACTGAAATTTGTCGGGCTAGGAATGTGTCAGTTGAGACTCTGCATAGTGTAGTCTGTGGATGGGTTCTAGTCTGTGTTTATTATCAGCCTATAATAAGGCAAGACATTGTGAATACATATTTAGAAACTTTTATAGCAATGACAGTGGTGCAAGATTCAAGACTTTTACTGTATTGAAGATTGGCTATAACAGATTAGACATCCATGAACCGACTTCCTGACCAGTTTGAGAACCCTAGTGTATACGCTCAAATTACCTGTGATCAACACACCAGCTACCTGTTAGCTGGATTAGATTAGGAAGCAGCTTTTATTGCAAGCACTGTAGCAATTCCTCCATATGCTGGCTCCTACTGAGAGAGAGAGAGAGAGAGAGAGAGAGAGACCCTGTAGCAATTCCTCCATATGGTGGCTCCTGCTGATCGTGCGTGCGTGCGTGTGTGTGTGTGTGTGTGTGTGTGTGTGTGTATCCCTGCATGTGACTGCATGCCTATGAAGCAAATTACTCTCTTCCTTGGACACTCACCAAAGCTGTCCAGTCAACAGACTGATAGGGATCTTCACTGGCACCTGGGGTCACCATGCCATCTTCCACACCTTGAGTTCTAATGTCATCTTCTGGCCGGACTGTGATGGCTAAAACAAAAGACCGAGTCAGGGCTTATGGTGGAAGTAGCGTGGGCAGACCTAACTGGCTGGCTACAGTAAGATTATTTTTTTCCCATTTCTTTTGGAGATTTTTTTTTGACATCTTTCCCACTTACCACAAACTGTTCTCCCTGCCGTGCCTCTGGCTGGTTGTCTCCATTGCCAAAGAATGGAAGATGGAAATAGAAAAAGGTCAGGTGTCCAGCCCCTTCCCGGCACCCCAGCGAAGCAGGCAGAACAGGCGGTATATACCTTTCCTTTTCAGGAATGAACCAGAGTCTTCCTGGTGCCATTTCATATGATGAATTAATATTTCCAGGTTAAAGGAATATCATTTCGACCTGGAAAATTCTAAATTAGAGTCGCCTCAAAAGATTTCTCAAAATCTCAATTTGCAGGCTCTATCTCAAACACACTGAATCAGAATGTCCAAAAGCGGGGCCTCCATCTTTTCAAAACCAAGTTCACTCTTCATTTAGTTTTGAGACTGCTGCCTACCTGGCTGAGCGGAACCATCGGCTTTGACCACAGATCTCAGAGATTACACAGACTTCAACCTCTTATGTTACTGATGGGTTAACATCCCCAGGGGAAGGTCAGTAACATACGTCAGAGGTAACTAATTAAACTCTTCGGGAACCAATGCTAACTAACGAGAGCCTTTACTGCCCCCGCCCTGGCTTTTCTGCATTCATATCAGATGAATGACCCTGGGTTTCTAGGGAAGTAAGGGATGGTGGGGTGGGACAGCTGGTTGAATTCCACAAAATTCCACAACTGGGCAGAGAACTGATCAACACCACCTGCCTCTTCTTCAATCTCTGTCGCAATGATCTGAACTAATGGTGACCAAGCTGGAGCATCATCTCGGCTCACCAAATAACTCTTTTCGCGAGTTAAAAAAAAAGTCTGACTCATTGGCCACAGTCTGCCTCTCCAGACTCAGCGTGGTTCTGGAAATTCCATGACTAACTACAGTTGCAAAATAAGGGAGCACATGCAGCCCAACAGCAAGAAGGAAGGGGTGCTCCTGGGCTGCTGTGTGTACTCAGAGCAGAGGTTTGCATCAACGTAGTGCTCAAGTTAGCAGCCAAGATACCGTATTTCTCCCTAGGCTTGGACAGCCCAGCCAAAGGCACGGCTAATAAATATTTGATCACAACTTCTTTGCTGATGCATAGAGGGAGAGAGCCTCAGGAGTCAATATGCTTGATCTCTTTGCATGCAGAGTCCTAATCCAGTGCTGCCAATCAATGGCTTTGGATGAATCTCCTAAGTATATGCATCTATTTTTCATCTGGGTGGTGAAAGGCTTTCATCAGTTAGCAATAACGCTGTGCATGCAAATGGTTGGCCTCCCCTCCTGGCCATTTGCTGGGGTGGGGGCGGGGTAGCGATTGCCTCCCACAAGGATTTATGACTCTGGTGTAGACAAATGTTGAATGCGTTTATCCAGCTCAAGTGGAAATACCTTCTGCCTGGCGAGCAGTCCTAATTTTAAAAAACTAAGTATCCCATTTTCTTTTCTTCCTCCCACTCTTTGAACTCAGAGAACAAATCATCAATTATTAAAATGTTTTCTGGGGCTGTTCAGCAAAATCGCTTACTTTGGGGCATCCTTTAACTTTGTTTGAAAAATAAAACAAAACCACCTTGCATTAAAAAAAAAATCAAGTACTAAAGTCGGTTTGAATTCTTTCATAGAAAGTTCAGTTCATTGAAAGAGTAACTTGTTAAAAAAAAAAAAAAAATTCCTTCTGGTTCTTTTCTACTCTTGGCCCACAGAGCCAAGTACTAAAATCGCTCTGAATAGACAAAGGGTGTTTTATGAATGACACTCATGATTAAGATGCACGTCCTTTGTCTCACCGCCCTGGCATTCTTTTGGCTCCATGGGAAAGTTGATCTATAACAAGAGATGCTCGATTGTCCTTCTCGTTATTTTGGCTGAAGGCTCTCCTGGGTGAAGAGTTCCTGGAGCCCAGCTGCCGAGTTTGCAGCCAGCATTTGCCACCCTTTTCTCTTGAATGGTGAAATTCAAATCACGTACTAAAGCCTTCGCTCTCCAGTCCTTTTCATTCTTCCTAAGACACGTGTGCACACGGGCGACACACAGCTGTTTATATAAGGTCAGCGATGAACCTACGATCACGCTGTCAGTTCTGAAGCCTTGTACCCTCGTGTTCACAGGAACACCTTTCCTTGCCACGCCCAGCCTCATCCAGCTGGGTGTCAGAACAATGGCAGCTTCCAGGCACAGTAGCAATCCCCAAATCCATTCACTTTGGAATTTTTGTGTGTGTGTATGTGTGTGTGTTTTGTTAAAAGCTAGGCCAAAGTGTGTACTACCTTTGAGAAGACAATATGGATAAATCGATTTTACCTTAAGGTTCTTAAGTCCGAGAACGAATAAGAACTGAAGAGATGCTTATTGGTCTGAAAGTGCTAATTATGAATCATTTTGATTCATAATTACCAGGCATTAAAGCCTGGTAACGCCAAACAAATTATTCTACTTTACAAACATTTATGGAATGGCATTGAAAAAAATACTTTAAAATTTAGATGCCACATTAAATCACACTGTTATTATCACTGCGTGTAATATCCCAAATTCTTGAAAAAATTCTTTTGGTTTTTGTTTTCACTCTTTTGGTTTTATTTACATTTCTTTTGATTAGTGGTGGCGAGTTGTTCCATCTGTTTGCCATCAGGAATTTCTTTTGTGACCTTTTTTCTCTTACGGTATTCATCTTTTTTATAGCTTTATAAGTGTCCTTTATAACTTTAAGAATATGTGCTTTGGAATTCATGCTACCTTTTTTAACCAGTTGGCATTTGCATGTCTTTTGTAAGTGGTGCATTCTGTCGCTAATCAAATTTATTAAGCCCGTTTTGTCTCTGTGATGTCACAATTACCTACCCTACCTCCCAGATTATATAAAGATTCACCTATATTTTCCTTGTAGTTTTGTCCTTATGCTTAATCTTTCCATTTGTCTTGTGTTTATTTTGCAGTACAGTGTAAAATGGGAGTATAATTTGACTTCCTCCAAAGGATTAGGTGTCATTTCAATAAATCGTCTTTGCCCTACTGCCTTGAAACCAGCTCTCTTTGAGACAATATCTTCCTTCTAATACTGTGTCATGGTCATGGAAGAAACTTCAGCACAGGGCCAGCTTAAATGGCCTGAGCACTGCCAGCTGCCTACCCCCATACATACAGATTCTTTCCAGAACCAATGCCTCTGTCTGTGACCCTCACGTCAGCTGACCACTGCCAAGTTAATTCAGTGCCAAGGATGTAGCGAGAATCATACGGGACACAGAGAGCAGGAGGACGAGTGGGCTGCCGGAACGGGAGGATGCTCAGGTCTTCCCGCGTCATAGGTTCTACCCAACAGAGGAGGCACGGCTTTATAACAAGACCCTCACTCACATCTGTTCATCCACGTAGGGTCTACATGGTGCCTTCTGGCTGACTTTATTTTAAACGGCCCCACGGGGCAGGGACACTGGCATATTGCTTCCATGTACCAGACCAGGAAAGTAAGGTTGACACTCCCCTTGGCCAGACTTCAGTTAGGTTTTTCTGAGCCCTTCTCAATGAGGCCACGACCCTGGGCAGAGTCCAGTTTCAGCTAAGTCGGTTTAGAGAGAATCTGACCACCCTTGATATCTGACTAAGCTCCCCATCCTCCACCTTTGATGACTAAGTCCTCAGCCTGCCTTAGCAAGAACCCCTCGACCCTTGGTGTCCCCTCTTGGTAATTTTCCATCGATGCACTGACCCCTCACTCTGCTGCTTGGCTATAAATCCCCAGCTGTCTTCGTCATATTCAAAGTTGAGTCCTATCTCTCTCTCCTATTGCAATAGTCTTGAATAATGTTTTTCAACTGTCTTAACATGTCAACAAATTTTTCTCTAACAACATCAGAAGCAAAATGATTCGCCAAGTCTGCCTGGTCGGTGACTGCTCACCAACACAAATCCAAAAGCACATTTGCGCCTCCGTGGCGGCTGTGGGCTGCACCACCCCCACCCCAACGCCCCCCTCCTGGGTTCCCACATCCTTCCTCTTTGGCCCACAACCTCACCCTCTCATAAATTATCATCCTGGTTGTCAGAAGCAACTGCCTCCTCTGACATCTGATCTCTTAGAGAATCCCATCTTGTTAGAATCTTCCAATCTACTTACTTAGAGACCACAAACTCAATTTCCCCAAATGAGCCCCTTTCTAGGACTAAGCTCTCAGAAGTGGCAGGTTAGAAAGAAGGTGTGATTTGCTTTAAAAAGGTGCAAGTACCTCTTTGAGCAGCAGCTCTCCTCTTGGCTCTATAAGGTAAGGCAGCAGCAATGATCAATCAAGATCGGAACTGTGCCAAGGTTCGCCTCTAGGTCCACCAAATATTTACTGTGCACCTACTGTGTGTTGGGCCCTGTTCTGGGCACCAGAGACAGAGAAGTGAACAAGACAAGGTCTCTACTCTTGTGGATTTCGACACTGTCGGGGTGCGGTGAGGGCTCGTAACAAGCAAACCAACCAGGAAAATCTCAGAATAGTACTCCTCTACTCCCTGCTTCAGATCTCTGTTCAAAGGGCATTTTCTTGGGAGGCCTTCCCTCCCACCCCAGTAAAACCAATAACCGCCTCCCCCACACTCACACACACGCCTGAGTATTTGCCACCCACCACACTTTGTATTCACTAATGGCTGTCTTGTGAGAACATACACTTGATAAGGCTGTTTTATCTCAATGTCCCCCTTGCCTAAAACACCTGGCACATAGTAGGCACTCAGTAAGTATTTGTTGAATGAATGAGTGAACTCCAGGTAGGGGAAGAGCTAGGGCTGACTCCGAAGCCCCAAATGCACTTAAGGCCACTGCACACTCAAGAAGCAGAGGGTACTCAGTATGGGTGGACAATAGGAGACAATACTGGCCAGTCAGTGGAACGCTGCAAGGAAGAGGTTTTGATTTCAT